AAAATACAAGGATTGAAGCCAGTTGACAGATATTATATTGAGAGATGGTGTTGCCTGAAAAATAAAATTTAAAAAAAAAAAATGAAATTATGCAACCACATTATAACATTTTTATGGATATTATTTATATAAATGTTTCACATACAATAGATTCATCACACTTTATAGACATTCCTAGGTGAAGATAAATATGTAGTTATTTGAGACTTGAAATGATTAAAATCAAACAATTCATCACTATTTATCGATTTCTGAAGAAAGTCATACAGATCTCTTCATCTGAAAATGTTAAAAAAATTATTTTCAGAAATATTGTGAATATAGAAAGAAAATAATGTATATACAGTGGATATCTTATTCAATCTACATTCCTTAATTATGAATATCAAATATTGTAAATTATAAAGTGTTTTTTTAATTTTTTTTCTCATAAATAAAGTCAAAATTCGAATATTGAAATATATAAAAGTACCTATAATTAAATATTGTTTTTTCTTGGGTAGAGTAGAAACAAAAAGTGATTCTTAATCGTCTATTACAAGTAAATATTTAAAAAGTAATCAATTCCAAGAGCTTTGTAAAACTTAAAACTTATGGGTTATGTATAAAATTATGATTAAAAGTATTATTTTTGATGTATATAGATACAACCCGGCATTGGCGTTATAAACAATTTCCAAGTTCATCTGGAGCATTATAGCAACCACATTTTGGAATTATTCCGAATGTCAAGTTCATATGTTAAATATATATTAATACATTATAGTCCACAACACTCACACATTTGAAAACGATCTGGTAGTTGAGATTGTACTAATATCAACATAATATACGAATGTGAGAAAATATACCAATGCGACATTATTAATTTTTTATTTTAACTAACCTAACATAACCTAACCTATCTATTTAGTTATTTATTATTATATGTCAAATATACCATAGTTTGATGTGCTATAGATTCAGATTTTGTATACAATTTTCTTAAACTGATCCCTTATCGAGAATTGCTACAACAGAACATGGACGTAAATAGGGGGGGGCTTAGGAGGGCTTAGCCCTCCCTGAGCCATCTCAAGCCCTCCCTAAAATATTTTAATATTTAGCCATTTAGGTTATCTTTATTATAATTAATAATATAATTTAAAATCTATATTTATGATATTAATTATATACATTATAATTTATAACCAATGGTAATAGTTATAAATATAATAATAAATATAATTATAAATATCACCGATAAGTGATAACGTAATAAGTAATAATGTCTGGAATATAATATTATGTGGATTATCTATGATTATAAATTATAACCATGGACATATTATAGAACAATTAGATAGCCGACCATAGATATGTATAATAAATGTTTATTATACATATTATCTGTGTAGCCGACTATAATATATTTTTGAAGCCACGTCCCACCCCGTCCGCTCTATGCCTAAACGGCAATGTTTATGATACATATCCAAATATATATAAGTTGATGCATGTTGCATTAGCTATACCTATAAGCTCGGCAACATGTGAAAGATTTTTTTCCTCTATGAGAAGAATAAATACTTATCTAAGGTCCAACATGGAACAAGATAGATTTACCGATTTAAGTATTATAAACATAGAAAGAGAGTTATCAAACCAAATTGATAATGAACAAATTTTAAACAAGTTTTCCGAGAAGGAAAGAAGGATGCAATTATAATGATATTAATTATGTATAATATTATAATATGTAATATATAGGTATATTATGACTGTATAAAAACTCTTTAATTTTTTACAATAACTAAAAAAATTAAATTACATTTAATTTGTGATAGTTTTGAATTGTATCAGCATCATAGATACAATTGTGTGTAGGTAAATAGTGGGCAAAAGACAAATTTCCCAATATTTTTGTTCTTTAAATTTTTTGGGCTCAAGCCCTATGCATTTGAGGACCCTATTTACGTCCATGCAACAGAATGACCTTTAACGGAGAATGTGCTGACCATATTTTGTTTATTGTGTGAGGTATGTTATTTTGTAGTTACTCATCATGTCTTACACTATGTAGTCAATAATGTGCCCGGAAAAGTGTGTGTGGATATCGTTCTATAAAATCGGAAAAAAAAAGTTTGCAGCAGGTAGGTGTTGACTGATGACTAATGGATAACTGGATATCAAGGTCGTGGTGTCTGTCACTGGTAGCCCATTATAAATTAATAGTTAGCACAAGTTATTTCTAAACAGTTAACAATAAAAATGAAGGCTTATACCTACCATTGTCCTCTAGTGTCACCAATTTCCGACATTTGGATAAGGTTTGTAATACAAAACAGTAGTTGCAGTTTATATTTTAGTCGTTTTTAATATTGTATTCTGTATGAAAATTGGTTTTGCTTACATCACGGACTACGGGCCAGTTGCACTGTCTCTGATTAAATTTTTTTTTTTTTTTTAACCGGCCAAATTTGGCCGGTTTAATACGAATGGATCTTCGCAGGAAAAAATTTTTTGTGTCCGTATATAATATTGCCTACATTTAGCCCCTTTTTTGCAGTTATCAAAATGTGACAACATTGATAAACCGATAACATAAGTTTCATTATAAATTATAATATTATATTTTATTATATTAATTATAATTAAAATAGTTAAATACATTAATAGTTAATAAGTTATTAAAAACACAATATCGTAATTTAAAATTTAAAAATACACAATTCATTGAGAATACAGTATACATGTACAACCTATTTACGTGGAACATTATTTTAAATTTTCAATCTTTAGCTATAAAAGGTAAATTATATAATACAATTTAAAATTTGATAAATATTTTCAAAATTCGAACTAGTACCCAGATAGCAATTGTGTAATGATATTATTATTATTATTATAGTACACAAATATTGTTATAAAAATAATGTTATTATAATAACATAACTATCCAACTAACATGATATTTTTACATTATAAATTATAATTAAAATAGTTAAATACATTAATAGTTAATACATTTAATAATACACAATTCAAAAAAAAACACAATATTCATTATTCACTTACGATCGTCATTTAAAAGATACAATTCAACAATATATTAAGAAATTCATTTTCTTTTAGCGCTATAAGAATGATCGTGATATGAATGAACATTTAAAATACTTGTATTATTTAGTAAGGATTTTCTTATTATATTACCTTCACTCGACGACAATTGATGAAATTCAAGTTTATTTTTTTATTTTTAGTAAAGAAACGTGGTTGTTTTTCAATATTCTTTTTATGTTGATTGTATTTATATCTTCTGTTTGCATAGGTTTTGATTCGTTTGTAAGTAATTCAATAATTTTATTGCAATGTTTTAAAATATGTTTTTTTGTGTACTGTAATAATAATAATATCATTACACAATTGCTATCTGGGTATTAGTTCGAATTTCGAATTTCAAATTTCATTATATAATTTACCTTTTATAGCTAAAGATTGAAAATTTAAAATAATGTTCCACGTAAATAGGTTGTACATTTATACTGTATTCTCAATGAATTGTGTATTTTTAAATTTTAAATTACGATATTGTGTTTTTTAATAACTTATTAACTATTAATGTATTTAACTATTTTAATTATAATTAATATAATAAAATATAATATTATAATTTATAATGAAACTTATGTTATCGGTTTATCAATGTTGTCACATTTTGATAACTGCAAAAAAGGGGCTAAATGTAGGCAATATTATATACGGACACAAAAAATTTTTTCCTGCGAAGATCCATTCGTGGTTTAATATCTGTTATCAGTTGATTAAGCTTAATCATAGTTTAATCGTAGACGGTACAACTGGCCCTAAGATATCAATCCGCGGTTCACATGCACAGTTAATTGTTTGGAGGTAGGTGTATGAGTGAGAGTTGTGTGTAACGGATACACATGTCACCGCAGTGGAGGTAAAACAAATTGTCTTGGCAGTGTAGAAAATATCATGACAAATTAATAAATATATGTCGTGGATAATACGGTGAAGACACTTGACAAAAATTTAGTTATTTAACTTTTATTAAACTTAAATAAAATTTTAATATTAGTAGGTAAATATTTAAAAAATAATTGTTCGATAATTTTTATGTGGTTGTGACGTATTACTTATATTATTATTATGAAAATGATACGGCCATACGGGACTGATCAGTGGCGGTTAAAATATACAGTTCCCAATATTCTATTATTATAGTATAATTATTAATATTGTATTATGTTGTATTTAGTCCCTATGCAATTATTTATTAGTTATCAATTATAAGTATAAGTATAATAATTCTAGTCCCTACTTCCTATTGTTTCTAGTGTTTGAGTGTTTCTAGTTCTTCTGATTCTTGGTTTTAGACTTTAATAAAAATATAATGAATCCAATATATGACCCAATTTTATGTTTACTTGGAACTCCGTTCAGTCAATGTAATACTCGTGATAAAACAGATATACTTAAGCAAGGTAAACCTACTCCATCTTTATCATGTTTAACTACTGACAAAAAAGATGATAAAGTGTTTTCTAGATAATTTAGCATAGCTTGGTAAAAACAACACTCTTGGCTATGTGGCAGCTATTACCTAAAAAAATTATTTTATTCACCTTGCTTGGTATTAGTACATAAAAAGTCTGTTTGGTATACTGAAGAGTATTGTGATTTTAAAAATTGTCTAGAAGTTTATAAAGACATGAGTCGTCAAAGGAGCATATTCGCAATCATTTTAACTTAAAAAACTTAGAAAAAAATCCTGTAACTATTGTTGATGCTCTCAGTGAACATGGAAAGTTATTTAAAAAACATTACAACGAAAATGTGAGACTGAATAGATTATTTATGGAGCACCTTATTGAAATAGTTATATTTTTGGCTAAACAAGAATTAGCATTCCGTGCCCATGACGAAAGTAGCAATTCTTTACATGTATATCTGAATACTTGTTTAGTCATATCAAACAAGAAATCAAACAATGCATGTTTTATTCTGTTCAAATAGATGACATCACTGATATAACTCAAAAAACACAGTGTTCGATCATATTAAGATTTGTTAATAAAAATTCAGGATTAGTTGAGAGATTTCTAGGTTTCCATAATGTTAGTGATGATCATACAGCCGAAGGATTATTTAACCTGATAAGTTCTGTTTTAAATGAGTTTGACATAGAGAAAAAGTTAGTTGGCTAATGTTACGATGGGGCAAGTGTAATGGCGGGACATTTGACAGGATTACAAGTGAGAGTAAAAAATGTTGCACCCAATGCAATATTTACTCACTGTTTAGCGCATAGGTTAAACTTGGTACTGCAAAATGGCTGTAATATGAGTTCAAAATGTCGTAGGTATATTTTTTACAAATCTAACTAGAATCTCAGCTTATTTCCATAATTCTACTTCACGCACTAAAGTTGTTGATTCTATAGTAGGAAAACTCATTACACAATTTGTTCAAACAAAATAATAACTATTTTAAGTTTCAAATGAATTATACCTAAAATCTAATGTTCTCCTTTTAAAAGTGTCACAAGTGGTTATCACAATTAAATCCATGTTTAAAGTATCAGTGTCTAAAAGTTTTTGTGAAATATTAGTATTACTTTTCGAAGTATAAAAATATAAAGATAGACTTTTCTTTCCCATCATTAATAATTGGACGGTTTTTAAGGGAAAGGGCTTAAGTCAAAATTTGATACTTTTCAGGAGACACAAAAAACATTATAACTTTGTACATTTTTAATGTTTTTACATTTTTTATTCATAATAATGTTTAATATATAGGTGTATATATATATACATAAGTGTTTTGTTATTTTACTATTAAATATATTTTAGTATTAACTTTTTATTTATTTTCTTCAAATTATAATGACTTATGACCTATTGCATATATACCTGTTTGACTTGGGTCCCTTTCTCATCACGACTTAAGACCCATTGCATGTAATTTTATAAGACTTATGCCCTTTGTCATTAAAATAAGTTATAATAAGTGACTTAGGCCTTTTCTCATAAAAAAAAAATTCTGTAAAATGACTTATTACCATACGCATTCTATTTTATCTCGTAAACCAAATCCCACATGGCATCATTCAACGCGGCTTGAAATTTCACACAGAATTAATGCATAAACTGAAAATGTTCAAAAATGACTTAAGCTCTTTCTCTTAAAAACCGTCCAATTAAACAGCTGATCACATCATCAATTATATATGAACTTATCCACTAACGAAACTAACTAAACTTTTGAATTCATTTGAAAGAGTTAAAGGATTTAGTTTCAATTGTAGCAACTCTACTATAGCCGATTCAGAATTAATATTTATAATATAACTTTAATGTTGACAATTACCTACTGAATAGAAAATATAATTACAATCTAAAAAAAAAATAATAATTTTATAAGAAATACTAAATGCTTATAATTTGTATAAAATTTAAAAAATCCAATGTGGGGACACAGGTAATATTCTTAGATTAAAATTTGATAATAAGTGAATTTACTCTAACATTAAAAGTAACAACACAGGGTTGGTTCTGCTAAATATTAATTTTCTATGTTGTCAGAGAGATAAAATAAACAGTGCCCTGACTCCTCTTAATTTTTATTTGGTAATTTTGTAATATTATTTTTAATTTTAGCTTTAGTGTATCTAAAAGCCCGCCCACCAATTTATTGTTGTATTTAACAATAGAAAGTGAGTCCAGCATCTAAATTAAGAATCTTCTTAATTAAAAATATCCCAAAAAAATACACAATGGATATTATAGTGGTATTATGCTGTACGGCCTTACCACTATTAGTACTAAAATTGCAAAGGGCCAATCTACTACAATATAAATAAAGCGTTGTTGAAAAAAATACATTTTATTTATGTTATTGTCATATAAATTAAATAGGTACATTTCATTCTACAAACATTTAATATTTTTGAAAAACTATAAATATTATTTTTGCCTATCAAATTAAAAAAAACTAGGAAGTCTCTGCTGTATAGATTTTGGCTTTTGAGTGTATCTTGTCATTAAATAGGCCACCACACGGACATTTCTGGAGGGGGGTCAGCTAAGAGATGTGGCTTCGTTTTCAATAACGAGTGGCAAGTGAATAAAAATTAATAATATAATACCTATTCATTATTTAAACTATTTATATAAATAAAAGGGGTTTGTATAGGCATATTCAATGTATTTTCCATACGAAAATTAGATTATTTATGAAATATAAAAAAAAATGATAGTTAAATCTATGAAAAATAATATTATTTTTATTATACAGTTGAATTTAAATAATAAACACATTCATTTAATTACATTTAAAAATTAATTTTTAAGGAGTTTTGTATAGGCAATTGAACATAAAAAATAAACAAAATAAAACGTCATTAATTACTGTTTGCAGATATAAAAATGTTGTAATTTTATATATTCGTTAAAGAAGTGGGCTACCGTCATTTTTAATGATGAAAGAAATATTCGATTAACACTTAGAAGGTATCGATAGTACCTAATAGTAATTATAAAAGGCGTTTATAGTGTATATATGTATAGTATATATTATACAGCCTACAGGACATAATACATCAAAAATAGTATATCTTCTAAACAGAACAAGAATTTACTTTAAAAACGCTGTAACTTTGAAAATATATAGGTCCTATCGACTAACACCGAATAGTTATAATAATTAGAAATGTCAAAATAAATAACTATAGAAATGGCTATAGATAGGTAGGTACCTAGACCTACTATATGTATAATCAATGTCTATCATTGAGTTCGTATTGGTAATGAGTAATGACTATATTGACTGTATTAAATGGTTTCTTCTTCAGTATCTACATTGTGTATACATATATGTTGTGTACTTGTATATTTGCCAACATTATGGCTACATATTGGTATTTTATAATAAGTAGATCGCCATAGTAATATTATCTAATATTCAAGGGGCATCACACATCTATGACTTATGAAATGATTAAAAATTAATACAATACAGCCATATAGGTAGGTGCATACATTAGTGTAAATGTTTCATAAGTACCTACCTACCGTAGTTCATTTAGAACTCCTCAATAGGTAATTATTAAAATCAAAAATTCCATCTAGAGCATTTGGCACGACCAAATATAATATTTATAATATAATTGTTTCATTTGTCCTCGCTACTTCCATCAAAAATTTAAGACGAATTAATCAGCTTCAAAAAAAGAAAATACTTTTGTAGACAGAAATGTATTTAACAAACAGAATCATTTTGGAAATGTTGAACTTAAATGCCGAAATGTATTATCGAGTCGAACCTAATATAGGTAGTTCAACTAAGTATTGTAACTTAGTATTGTTTATGAATATATAAAATATAAAACACAAGCGACAAGTCTCAAACGCCTCTAAACCATCTGAAACATATGGAAAAATATGTAAGCAAGGTTTCACTATGGAACTAGGTATTGTGTCCATTTTCGGGCGAGTTTAATCACACCTTTTCGACATTTTCTCATGGCCGTCATTACTCTCTTCGCGTAGTTCGTTTGTTTTCGAAGCCGCCGATCTGAGATTTGTCCTCGAAATCGGTCCGTAGTCTTCGCAATCGCAATCGACGTAGACCATCGGTCGTTATTATCGCCATTTTTCGACTTTCTCGATTGGTTTCGTCTTTTCAATCGTCTTTTCTGCAGTATTCATTTAGTTTATTTCTTCTAAAATCCATGGATATGCGGTTTGTATGTGAAATCGGTCCGTAAATCAATGTCTATCATTGAGTTCGTATTAGTAATGACTATTGTATTAAATAGTTTCTTCTTTAGTGTCTACATTGTGTATACATATATGTTGTGTATGCCAACATGATGGCTACATATTGGTATTTTATAATAAGTAGATCACCATAATAATATTATCTAGTACAAGTACACAAGTGTCATCTACTTGTCTACGACTTATGAAATGATTAAAAATTAATACAATATAGCCATATAGGTATATTAGTATTCACAGTAAGTAACGTAATTTATTTAGAACTTGGTAGGTAGGTACCTAGTTATTCAAATCGAGAATTCCATCTAGAGCATTAAGCACGACCAAATGTTTGTATAATAATTGTTTCATTTGTCATTACTACTTATCATCAAAAATTCAAGACGAATAATATTAATCAGCTTCAAAAAATGAAAATACGCTATAGTACTAAGACAGAAATACATTTAACAAACATAGAACCATTTTGGTAATGTTGAACTTAAATGTCTAATTCGGACGTCGAACTGGGCGTCAACCTTGGAGGTACTACGACATTGGAATTCGTGCTGAGCGCATTTTCTATGGAGGTATTAATGTATTATTTTTTTTCAAATTTTACGTATAACACCGAAAATTATTTTGCCACTTACAGTACAATTAGGACAAGGCGTCAATCTTGGAGGTAGGTCGAGATCGGAATTCATGCCAAACCATTTTTTAATGGAGGTAATATTTTATACAATGTGTGACGGTTATATTTATATAGTTAACCAAGACCCCAATCAGCTGATCGAGTTTCGCTTTTATATTGTTCTGTGCACGAAGTATTGTTTAGAACGTCTTTGATTGTTTTATGCTACTATCAGTTTTGCAGGAACTACAAAAAACCGATTGAAAACTTGAGAAAAAAAATCTATGAAAACAGAGACACGACCTTTTTTGCTGCGGCATGTGAATTATAGTAGAATAATATTGTATAAAGAACATATATATATATTATATAGTAGTCATCTGAAATTTGGGGAATAACTGTATACGCTTCTGGTGGACAACCCCCTTGAAAAAATCCTGATTGCGCTACTGATTAGTATGTTAATATATATTACTAATTTTATCTATATAAACACTTACAGCTCCAGAAAACACAACAGAAACGTTATTAAAAAATATTAAAAATGGAACAACATTGTCCAACATTTTAATAGCATACAGTTATCGGAATTGGATAGCTTATTGAGTAATGATGATAATGATTACCCCTGGCTTTCACAAAAACGACCACCATGCGAGCACCGGTCAAGCTCTAGTTTCACTGGCCGTACTATAGTAGTGTATATTATAATATATATAATTAAAATATATTATATTTTATTTTCTATTATAGACTAATGACAAATAAACTAACACAAGGACTACACACTTTTACTTATGATAATATTTTTTTATAAACAGTTATTGAGAATGACACCAAACGCGCTGTAGTCGTATTTTATTGATATAATAAAGTTAGTCTCAAGTTATAATGTGAACAAGTAAACACTACATTAATTTAATTTTTTTGGTACTTTAAGTAATAATATTTTTCATAACTTAAGTTTAATTATGTTCCTATAATTTGTTAATACTTTTTATATTGAATCAGTGTTGATCATATTCTTAAATTTTATAAGGGGAAGTCTAGAAATCTGTGCACCACTATATTTATTAGCACTTGGAAAGTTATTAAAAAGGAACTAAATCGTTTCTAGTTCCTGGCTTAAAGTTGTATGTTAATGCTAATGCTAATTTATTAAACATTATATTATTATATTAATTATTTATAAATATAAGTATTAGAATCACCATTGAACTGATCTAGCAGAGATATTGAACAAGAATTTGGTATGTGTACATCTAGAACAACTTGTGATTCTAACCAGTTTAAGGAAAATAGAAACTTTATTTAATTCAATATAAATTTTGTAATAATTTATTTTTGTTTTATAATAATTTACAGTGGACTCTGATTTCAGTGGCGCAACCAAAGGGGGGGTCCCCGGGTCCAGACCCCCCCTTGAGTATTTATAAAATGGAACATTTTTTAATTAATTTGGGAATATAATAATATATTGTAAGTATAATAAATTTTGTTTGGCATTATTGAGATTTTTCCTTAAGGCAACTGCTACATCCGGCGATGAAAGTTTTATATTAGCAAGAGAAAATTGTGGTAGAAATGCACAATACATAAGTTGGAAAATACAAAATGAAATTGTTAGCATTTGTTATGAAATTATTTCATCAAAAATTGTAAATAGAATTAATGAAAGTAATTTTTTTTCAATAATAGCGGACGAAACCGCTGATATATCGGGTACTGAACAGTTTGCTCTATGTGCCCGTTATTATGATAAGAAAAACAAAAATATTCGTGAAGATTTTTTAAAATTTATTCCAGTACATGATGTGAGTGGTAAAAGTTTAGCGAATCATATAATTACTGAATTAAAAAAATTGAATGTCGATGTAAACAATCTACGAGATCTTGTGAAATCAGAAATTTTACTATGGAACCGTTATCTAGATGATAGTAACATTAAAACAAAAAATGCCATCAACATATTGAATAATTGCAATTCAGATTTATTTCCAAATGTTTTTAAGCTTTTGCAAATACTGGTCACACTTCCTGTCACATCTTGCGAAGCTGAAATATCATTTTCTACACTCAAACGCATTAAAACATACTTAAGAAACTCAACGTCCGAATCGAGATTGAATGGACTAGCTGCTCTCAATATTCACTATGATATTGATGTCAAGTCCGAAGAAGTAATACAGCGTTTATCGAATTTAAAGCGTCGTTTAGACTTTATTTTATAATTTTATTTGATATATTTTCATTATATTTTTTTTTATATATACATTTTATTATTAATATGGTAACACAAATAAAAAATACATTTATTATTAACACAATTATTTATGTTTATATCTGTTGTAATATAATTTTGGACCCCCCCCCAAAGGATATTTCTGGTTGCGCTACTGTCTGATTTGGATGGACATCTGCCTCTAGAAACAGAAACTAATCAGAATATGGGCATGAACATGTTATTAAATAGACTGAAAGAAAACAGAAAAGGAAAGCTCACCCCAAACTGTAAGAAATAGTATAATGATGCATTGAAGCCATAAAGCTAAAACAAAGGGCAGAGGGTTTAGAAAAACAAAATAAAAGTACTAGATGTTGACTAAAATTAGCAAATTGATTTATAAGTAGCACTTTTACTACTCAAATAATACAAAAAGTTAACTCAGGCACTTTCAATTTCATTATGAGCCAAATGAAAATTCAAAAAAAAAAAACCTAAAGAAATAATATTTTTAAAAACATAGCCCATAGGTATCTTTGTTTAAAAACCATTAATATTATTATTTAATTAATAACATTAACTTGTGTATATTTCTGCGTTTTAAGTGTCGAAAAGTAAATAAACAATAATTTAAGGGAGTGAGCAAATAGTTATAAGCATTAGTACAGTTACAAAATTTAACCTATTATAATTGACAAAGTATTGATAATATGGAAAGCAGCATGCCAGCTTTTATTTGCTAGTCAACCAGGTACTAAATCAGGTGAAGTGGAGTACAAAAAATCAAAGAAAATTAAAATCTATTTTAAAAAAAAGAAAGTTTATAAACAATGTTGATACTGTTGCAGTGAGACATGCTATTCAGTGAATAAATATAACATTTTATCTATACCATGTATCTTCAGTAAAATAATTGAAGAATAGCAAAGGTATGATGCCTATATAGAGCAAAATGTGTTAAGAATACATCATAGATCAAGTAGAAATTGACATTATATCTCATATATTAAAGAAAAACAAAATTTATTTATTCTAAATGTCGGATATTTCCTTCCCTTAAATTGTTTGGGAAATTAATATTATTCAAAAAGAATTATAGTTAATGAATGCGAACTTATAAAATTATTCAATAAAACTAAAGATAAATCAGAAAACAGTTTTTGGCATGAAGTTAGAAATTATTGAATATCAGCTAGAATAAAAGCACATAAAATTAAATCTTATTAGAATTTATCTGTTGAACATCAAAATAACCTTGCAGTATTTCTATTCAAATATGAAAAAGTATTAGTATACCAAGGTAAAATCCATGTTGTTTATGGGGAAAGGTATGGAGAAGAAGCTGTAGTTATATTCTAAACTTTTTGATGCAACAATTTTAAAATGTGGAATTATTATTCATGCTCAAAACCATGGCTTTGTGTCACCAGATAGAATTGTAACAGAATAAAATCAAAATGCAAGTTTTAGAAATAAAATGCCCTTAATGGTGCAAGTCTAAACTAATAGTTGATCGTTAAAATAGAATTTGTAATGTTATATACTCAAAATATGAAAACAATAAAATAGTTCTCGAGCCAAGTCATCAATATTTTACCCAGTGCCAGATATCAATGTACTGTACAGGATTAGAACAATGTGATTTATTTGTTTACAACAAAATTGAACCATTAACTGTAACTATAGAAAGAGATTTCTTCCTTAAAATCATTAATAGTAAGACCAGAATTCTACTAATTTACTTTTTATTTGCCAAATCTTCCTTTTACGTAATTATTTATAATATCTTATAGTCATATTTTCTTTAAAATACATTTATTCATATTTTCTTTAAAATACATTTATTCATATTATATTAAATAACTACCAATAAAAAGAAGCATTTCAATATTAAGTGTTGTTTGATTGTATTAAAGTACATGATATTATACTACATTATGTAAATAATTTTTTATTTTTATTATTTAATTAAGCTTACATTATATTTTGTTTTTAAACATTTAAAGTTCATTGATTAAATACAAAAATAACTATTTATCATTTATTATAGGATTTTGCAAATTTGTCAACAAACATGTATTACTTCATCAACACGCGGTACCAAATCAATAGTAATATTATTTAAAAACCCTTTCTATGTAAATGCGCACACTAGTAACGGTATATGTTTCTAATACTTTATCCTCATAAAAGTGACCACTGTGAAGAATAGGTGGTACAACGAGAATACTTTTCGAAGCTTTCAAGACTACTTTGATGAAATGGAAGCCCTTATCTGCCAGAACTTCATCTCCTAATTTTGATAAGAATCCTCTTTCATTATTAATAAATGAATCACTAGTTCTACCACCATATGACTTGGACAGAAAACAGATGAAACCACTAGGATTTATAGCCATCAGCACTTTAACAATATAAGCATTTTTGTACTGTGAAAATATGTAAACTATTTGTTCAACAGTGCTAGGCTGCACTGTTTTAATTTCGGTACAGTCAAAACCAAAGTCATGCACCAAAATTTAACTATTTATATATGTATTATTAAAATTAATTACACAGCACATATGCACACGCGGTTACTCATTGCTACAATTTATTATTAACAACAATTATAAAATCAATGAATTAAGAATGATTAGGAAAATGTTAAATCTTAGATGTCGAAACTAAAACAAAAAGTAAATTTCAATCATGACTTATTATTTTTATGATTATCATAAATCAGATGATGGTAAAAGAATTTAAAATTTATCAACCAGGGAGCTCTAACGTTGACATACACGATACCAATAGGTGTTGTTAATGCTTTTTGAAATAATTATGGTTCTTTGATAAAAGAATCATAATGAGGATATAATATTATAATATCCTAAAGAATTGAAAATTGTAAAAAAAATTACAAATAGTGACAAGACCTACGTTTTTTCTTAATTTCTTGAAATATTAATACATTTAAGACGATAAAATAAATAGTACCATATTATGAATAATTGTAAGATACATTATGTGAATAAATACCCAAGGGTAAATATTTATTTATTATATTAAAATATAACTTTTGTTTCAAATTCATCAGTAAAAATGTTATATTGTATGTACTAAAAAAATTGATACCAAAAAAATTATATTACTAGTTGTGTTTTTGTAATAATAGATGATTTTTTGATTAAAGCAATATCATCAATTGAAATAGTTATGTATATTTAGCCAAGATATTTAGATATTTAGATCTTCTCTGGATAGTGGCAAATGTGCATTTTCAATTATCTTAAACAAAAAATACAAAGGATAATAAATATTTGTTATGCATATGGTACCTAATGAATAAATAAATAATAAGTTCTATATAATCACCAATTTTGCACCATTTCTTAATTCAACTGGTACGTGACTACCAGGTTTAATTCTTAAAGTAGTATTTTCACTTATATGTTTACAGATATTTGACATCCATTGAACAGTACGAGCTTTGGAACACTTGTATGAAATATCCCTCAACTCGTGGTACTACAAATAAACATACATTTTAAAAATAAATTGGGGAAATAACCCTTCTATGGTAGATTTTGAGTGTATCTAGGTCACTGATGGGTGAAATATGAATTCAATGATAAATCATTAATTAATATTTGTAATGTATAACAAACAATTATATGTATATCAAACTAACATATAAATGGTTTTTATTTGAATGGGAATCATGTTCGAACAGGACGCTACACCCGCATGTGTTGAATCAGTCTTACAAATGTACAATATAGCGAAAACTGTTTTGAGCATGTAAGAACTAAGAAGGCTACAGTCAGAACTAAGAAACGAGATTTTCATTACATAAAAAGGAGAGCTTTGGCTATGCATCATGTTTTTATTTTTTTTGATATACTTGTATGAAAAAAGTTCTTGTTGTTTAAGCCCATTATTGCTTGTTTTACAAACCAACTTTTATTTCCATGATATCAAAAATATAAAAACAATGTTGCACAGCCAAAGTTTTTCTTTTTATGTGGTAAAAATCTCGTTTCTTAGTTATGACTGTAGCCTTCTCGGTTCTTTCCTGCGCAACACAGTTTTTGCTACGTTGTACATTTGTAAGACGGAGACAACACTTGCAGGAGTAGCGTCTTCTTAACCCGTCGTTAATATCGCTAGTTCCACTATTGGTATTGAGTGAGCGCTGCCCTCGTTGTTTTCTCATCATTATTTATTATATAATGAACATAAAATATTGATTTTTTATGCCTAATTGTATCATAATAAAATCACTATCATTTATCTTGGCCCTAGTGGTCTGGAATATTTTGCAGATTATTATACAGTACGAATATGCATATTGTGTGCTCCTTAAAAATAGGTCTGAGTTCACAAAAAAGTATTAGGTCGATCTATTGAGTGAGTGCAACGCTCAATTTATGGATATTAACAACATGGCATGTCAATATCTAATCAAGAATTATTTATAAAATTATTATATTTGCAAAAGTATATTTAAACATGTGTTGATTCAAAGTATAAATAGTATCAGATGAATCAAGTAATAAATAAATAAGTGGCTCTCAAAATACTAACAAGGTGAGGGCCGCGCTCACATCGCGACCACTGACGGGTTAAGTATTTTTACAATATTATAATATGCTTAGGTATATATTTTTAATTTATTATTTAAGAATAAAATAATTAGGTATTTGTAACTAGTCTAAAATTGTGGATCAAACTAAGTATAAATCAAAAACATACATAATTATTAATTATTATTAAGATATTGTAGAACACATAATATTACCTTACAACCCAGACCAAATCCATACATATCAGATTCTAAAATGTCACAAACTGAGTTTCCTGATCTTAAATTTTGTGGATTCAAGTGAAGATTTAATTTTTTTTTTATTTCCAAAAATAAATTCTGAACACTTCCTATTTTGAATATTGACTTACAACCTTCATCATCAACTATAAAATATAATAAATATGTCAATAGTTATATAAGTAGATAGCAGTGGCGAATTCTCCAGGCATGCTCCGCATGCTTAAAAATAAAAACAGAATTAATAAAAATGCAATAATTATTTTGTCATCAATAATATAATATTACGTATTTAAAAAAATCATAATGTATGACAAAAATGTTTCTCATCTATTTCTGGTATACTTATCGTATTGTAACATTTACTGACAGAGCATGCGATAGCTGTGTGCGCAAGCTATACGACGCTTATTATCACTGTGAAATACCAGTTATTCCAAGACCTTTAGCCGCGGTACTAACCACCCAAGGCATGCTCAGTCGGTTGCGCTTCGTCAATGAATTTTGTAATATAATTAAAATTAAAGTAAAATATTTAATATTAATTCAATTAAAGTTTTATATATAAATTAAATAGAACTATAACACATTATGATAAATGAGCATGCCTATACATCGGAGTCAGCATTAGCCACTGGCAGGTAGGTTAGATTAAATTTAAAAAAAAAGTAAACTTAATAACCATAATTTGTTTTACCGTGTAAAACATTTGTAGTTATATTATTATTTATATAATTATATATTAAACCTTTATATAAACATTAATAATTAAATAAATTAGTGTTATGTATTTAATTTTTAAGTAGTATTCTAACCTAACACTGGATATCATTTTAAAGAAATTAGAATATTTCCATTTCAACAAACTGAATTTATTCATTTATTTACGCTTAAGATAAATCATCTACAAAAATGTTATAAACAAATTATTTTGCTACAGGTTTAACAGTTGTATTAAGAGGACGCTACACGGGCATTTATTGTCTGTCTCGCAAGTGTGTGACATACCAAATTTACGCTCAGCAGATCACGTTTACCTCTTTAAACTCTGTAGTGTAAAAATTAGAGTGAATCGACGTATTAAGAAACATAATGAAACATAATGGTAAGAACATTATCTGGTTTGTAAGTGGGTATTTTTACAATAGTTCAATTTTTTAGCAAGTCTTATGTATATATAATAAAGAAAAAATTTAAAATGCTCATAACTCACTAAAAACTGAATTATTAAAAAAACCCACATAAACACAGATAATTGTCTTACCATCAAGTTTCATAATAGGTCGATTCACTCTAATCTTTAAACAAATGAAGCTAAACGAGATCTGCTGAAAGTATACAGCATTTGGTAAGTTACACACTTTTGAGACGGAGACAGCAAATGTCCATGTAGCTTCCTCTTAAGTAGAACGGACTAAACTGTGTGTCGAGTGGCCATATAGAATTCTGTAAGAATGGTAATAAATGTATATTGATTGTATTATATTAACTTGATTTACCTCTTGGGTAAGCTGTGGAGTATAGTCTTTCCAAGCTTTTTTGAGTGTTAATCATATTCGTACCAATTTCTGACTCTATAGTGAATAAACATGGTAAGTCCAATGTGCCCTCTTTTAAATCTGCATCATTGATTATTCCATCCTAAAATAATATCATTAAAAGTTAACAAATCAATTAAAAATGATTGTATTTACCTTTAAAAATGTTGAAAATTCCAACAATATTTGTTGATAATCATCCCGGTGTTTATCATAACACAAAATATGATGAAAAACGTCGGAAAATTGTTTCATACCTCCAGCAAAACCTCTTGGGTAAATTTCAGCTATGAACAATTTACTATTTATTAATTTATTGGCTCTCTAGTATAGGTAGTATATAATTGTAATATTTAAGTATAAATATATTTAAGAAAAACTTGGTTTTCATGGTATTTAAATTCAATAACACAATAAAACTAAAACAATATTATGTCCATGTTCTCATTTATTTTAATTTTTAACCACTCAATGGCATAATTTAAAATAACTTAGGCATTTTAAATTTTTCACACTAATAGTTAGCTGAGATATAATTAAATAATTGTGGATGTTTGAAGCGCCGGAAAGACACAATCAACTAAAAAAACAAACTGAAGCGGTTATTTTCAGTAATATGATATATATTTTTGATATTATTGGAATCAACAATGATTGTAAAGTTGTTTGCATTTGTTGTATTTGGCGTTGTATTACTCAAAAATGAACTAAGACGGGGAAACAAATTTTTCTATTTATTTATTATTTTCCAGTAGAATAATTTTAATAGATTAACTAATTTATATTATTTGCAACTTTTAAGAGTACTAAGATTTTTTTTAATTTTCTGATCAATAATTACGTTTTTACTTTTTTTTATTATATTTAAAAATAATATGTACCAATTCTAGTTGTTTGTTTTATGTTTTTGGTAAAGAAATAAATGAATTAAAAAAAAAAAAATAACTCTTCAAGGATTTGTCACGAAAATTTTGGAATATTTTCAAATGATCCTCGATGGTCACTTCTATTAATGAAATATTATTTACAAACAGAAATGGCACCGATGACATGAAAAATACAATAAAACAATATTTAAAATATTCACTTTAATTAACATATAATGAAAAATCTTGATACTGATCTATACAGAAATATTCAGTTTTAATATTAACCAATGCTAGGGGACCTATATGAACACTACTATATTATTTTAAATACTTACAAATACCAATAACCTGATGATATGTGCGAGATATACCATCTAATAGACTAAATTCTAGTGCTGCAATTTCAGCAGGAAAATAATACTGTTCTACTTCTTCAGTATGACAATTAATGTGCAACAAAATAAACTTTTTCTTCAATAATTCTGAAAAATTAAAATAATTTTTAAACTTACATTATTATAAATAAATACTAATTGTAAGATGCCTGTCTTTCATATAATGATAGTTTGGAAATTATTTGTAAATGCATTGTATATTTTAATATATTATTAATGCATATAAATTAATGTAGTTTTAATTTAATTTATAAACAGTATGTCCACCAAAAAATTCTACTTCTCGTTAACGATGGATTTAATTGCAACTTTTGTGACCAGCTAAAAATGGTACCGACTTCATATTTATAGTAACATTTGAAATTACCAACTATCTTAGTATTAGCATGCCCAGTATAAGTTTTTAAAATAATAACTTCATTTTTGATAAGTACTATATTTTTGTATTTTATAAGTAATTTTTCTTCAATAACTAGGTAATTAAAATCAAAATTGACTAAATGAAAACCAAATCAGATTTTTTTAAAAAAAAGCCTTTTATTTATAGTGTTTACCATTTAACATTTTTCTATAGTTGTGTATTTAGGTACAGTCTATCTTACTTATCTTGTCAAAAAAATCAGATTCAATCCAATATGATATGGCTGAGAAATTGTGTCTTTAATTGGTGAACAGACTGTTATCATTTAATTATAATTAATAGAATGTAGCCTCAAATTAATATGATAGTTCTTACCCTCATTGTTAGGTATACATTCAAACATCTGGGTTAAATATTTCTGCATGTTCCAAAAATCATAGCTATTATTCTGCAGATCACTAATTTGTTTTAACGGCTGTTTCTTTACTTGAGTAGAATTATATTTATTTGCAAGATCTTTGTACTTTTCTTTTTCATCATTAGTCAATGTCTAAAAAAACAATAATTGTCAAATTAACTTTAATAAAAGTAAAAACGCATACCTACTAGGAGTGGCTAAACTTTAATTAAATAGAAAATTATTATTTCTAAACTAAAGCAATTTGATTTTATTGCCATAGGATTGGTGGGGTATATTAAAAATGTATGATTTTTTTTTAAACAGTGTATAGATTATGTTTAAAAAGCTTGACCACTCTTGACTTACACTATAGATTTAGTTTAGAGATTACTTACATTCCATATGGGTGTTAATTTAGTACATAATTCTTTAAAAGTAGGAGCTTTATTTCCTTTATTAATTTCATCAGTTCTATGACAATTTAAGAAAACCATAAATGCAGATTTCTTAGAAGCCATATTTATTTCTAGAAAGACAAAAATAGTATGTTTCAGTGACCAGTGGTAAAATGAATTATAAATTAAATTAAGCAAACCTAAGGCTGTGATAAAGTGTGTAGCCTACCTAACCTAACGTAAATCGTAATATCAATTAAAATTAAAATAAATTAAGTATCAACTGGAATTCCCTCTACATCCATTAAGCTGGTTATACACTATCAACCTTTTTATACGTAAATATTTGCGCTTTTAGAATTGTATCTAATGGAGTTTCCACCCTATCGCCAGGATTAGTGTTGCATTGCCTATTTAGTAAGCAATAAATAGTCGTTAACCTTACTTAAATTTACTGGTTTTCGGTATTAGGTAGACGATTGATTTTTATTTGGTAAAATAGTACAGCAATTTTAGATATTAAAAAAGATATAAAATAAAAGTTCATGTTAACAATTAAGAGGATATTAGAGCACTGTTTGTTTTCATTGTCCGACCCTTGCGCAACATAGACAAAATGCAAAATTTTTTTTTTTCTGTTTTTGCGTGGTAAAAATCACCCGATACAAAATTAAGAGAGAATAAATATTGTTGATGGTATGACATATTCGAGGACGTATTGATTTGTTTCAAAACAATTTAATATCCATTTAATTTACATGTGATTTATTTAACTACTTGAATATAAATTCAAATAAAATAAAACTTAAAAACTGATATTAAAATCCTTTACATATCATCATCTTTAATTTATGTTATAGGCGATTTTACTTTGAAATCACTCAAAAATTATAAAAAAAGATTTTACATTAATGCATTCTATCGATGTGTGATGACATCCCTCTACTAAAAAATAAATATTGTTAAAATGGTGTTATTAAAAATAAATATTATTTTCTCGACATATTTTTATATTTTAAGATTTCCAGTAGTGTGCTTTACCCACAGAAATAATCAAATGAATTTTTATAAGACAGTTTAAATATAATGTTGTACCTATTATAAGTACAAATGTATGTCAGTACACATTACTGTAATTACATATACAAATCAAGGTTAAATTTTTACGACAATCGATTAGCTTTTGTGAACTTTCACTTTTTAATATCTGATTAAATATCTAAGGTCTAGACCATAGAATGTAACACGCTGTTTCAGTTTTTTTTTGGCTAATTTAGAACATTGCTAAACGACTGCCATAATCAATGGTGTATTGTCCATCGATTATTACGGTCCAAGGAGGCTCTATAGATGATCAGGTAAAACACTGTAAATGTAGACTAAATTTGAGTCCAACTATAATTTGTTATAAAAAAACGGTTTAGAAAATAATAACGTAAATTATTTAGTCAGATAAAACCCTAACCAAACTAAAAGCCTGCGTACGCTACGTCGCTACTGCACATTGTTATTCTAAGATAAGTTATCTGATATGAAGAACTCCTTTCACATGACACTACGTTAGTCGGAAATTTAAAAATATTATATATGAAAGGAAATCCTGATGGCTGATAATAATGATCACATCGGTACTAATGTCAAGACATTAAAAAAAATTCAACATAACTATGAAATACCTAACTAATACAGGATAGAAGTTTAACTAGAGCCTTTCTTGCTCTGCTTCATGTTACCAGATTAATAGCGTGTGCACCCCAACCGTCAGTACCTACATCCTGGAGTGAAATATTAATTATGTTTCCATCTTTAAACAGTACCTATAAATATATTATAATTTGAATACTTTACCTTCGATAAATTCCAATAGGCAGTATACAAAAACACACGACACTGAGTACGGCGTATTGGACAAACCGAAAACGACCGGTGCGTCGTCGCGGCGATTGTTGTCAAATGTCGTTGAGGGCCTCGTTGGTCGGAGGGGGAAGGGCAAACCCCTCGGACGACGTTGCCAGATTTACCGAAACGGCGAAACATAACATTCCGTTTATCGCATGGAAATCTGGATATTTATTATTTGGTATTATGGCCTGACTGTCTGAGCACTGAGCGGACGTCCGAACGGCAAAAATGAAGTTTACGACGTCATGGTCGTACGAGGAAAATGTTTGCCGTCGATAGAATTAATGACAATACCCATGTTTTCATGCTGGTGAATGACAATATTATAAAAAATTTGAGCAGAGCTAGATTTTTCGTGATGCCCCCCGTTCGGACGAACAGCGTAAATACCGTGGCTAATAATTGGGGCATTGGTGGGGAAGTGAAACAATAAAATAATATTCCACTCAGTCGACCCCCACGGCCCCACGACAGCTGCCGGTACAGCAGTTTAAAAGACAATATTGAAATATTGTTCAACTGTTATTGAAACCGGTAAAAAAATAATCGGGGAATACGGCGTCATTGGCGTCGGCACAACCGTGGTCCGTGACGCATCGGCCGAAAACGCATCCACGATAACGATTAACGACTGTTTACATCATGATTCACGGCGACTGTTACAAACCGTAATCACGGATCGTGTAGTATCGTTTTCGGTGGATGTGATATATTTTGTTTTTTTTTCACGCGCCGTCCTCGTTTGTCCGTGTTATTTTTTATTCGTATTCCGTCGTTTTCACGAATTCATGATCTGACGGTCCATATTATTTTATTTTTTAGTTTCCAACCGTTTTACATCCGGCCCACCCGTCTCCGTGCACCTTTTGTTTATCTGGTTCGGTTGGTGCTGTTTTTAAAATATCGCTTTTGCGACGTTCGTTTTCCGTCAACAATGGGGTGCACGATAAGTTCGGGCGAGAAGGAGGCGGTGGAACGATCGAAGAAAATCGACAAATCGCTCCGAGCCGACGGCGAAAAAGCGGCGAGGGAAGTGAAACTGTTGTTGTTAGGTGAGTCGAAATCGGTCGTTGTCTGTACCCACAGGTACCTAAATTTGTTTTGCACAAACATTGCAGGGTAGACGTGTAGTAAGCCAACCCTTGTACTTACGGTATTATGATTTATATATTTGTCGTAATATCAATTAATTCATCTCATAGGTATAGGAACTACTTAATCGTATTATGTGAACGCAGTGCCGGATTTTCAACAAGGATATTTTTTTGGGGGGGGAGGGGCAGATATGGCCATGTGCCTTTATTACATTTTGTATTTGTTAACTTTAACCCATGTATAATAATTTAAAATAGTCATTAATAGGCAGGTAGGTAACGTCGTAATTTTCAAAAATTATATGGTCAAAAATAATTTTATCTAGGTAAATTATTGGTTATTTTATTTAATAATATAGATATTTACGGGGATATATATGTATTTAAATTAACTATTTACTTATCAATTTATCTCTATATAATTAAGTTGCAGTACCATCAGATACTTACTGCTATGACTATACTAAAGTACCTATGCTCAGAGACGCTCTCAGTGCACTAGATGAAAACATTTTGCCGTCAATATAACCCCCTGGCACTACATTTGTATAAAATCTTTACACATCGCTGATCGGTGTAATAAAACAAAGCATTAAAACATAACTAATTTCGGTTAGTTAAAAATGATAGGTACTGGCCACTAATTTATTAATCAAACAAGGCCATACTAAGGAGGAATAGGACAACTGCCTTAGAGCACTAACTGATTTTTGAGGTTTAATTGTGTATGTTGAATAGGGGTGTAAAATATTATTATTTCCCTGTTCGCTAATGTTAGTTAACACGGCACTGAATCACAATATAAACACTGTTTCAATATCAAACGTAAAATATTTCAACCATTCAAACTCAACTACGATGTAGGTACAAATTAAATTAGAATAATAATAATATATTATCACATATCACATACCTATCACAATTATTTAATTTACTATAAATTTACAAAATTAAAATCCCATTTGTATCTATCCTTTCATGACTGACCTGTATCAGTACCTAAGGGTGACAGTTTCTTAAAATTTCCCTATTTTAACCATAATTATGGTAAATTTAAAATTAATAAAGAAGTAATTTTTATATTTTATTATTTATTTTGAAAGTCAAAATTATTAAAAAAAATATTTTTTCAAATGGTGCAATGTACCTCTACCACCTACACTACACCAGTTTTTGACAAAATTAAAAGATACTTACTGTTATTTTTTTTTTATATTAAAAATATAAACCCGAAAAGACTAGAAATGTCCATATTAACTACTTATTATTTGTATTAAAATGTAAAGCTTAGCTATAAAAATAGAACATTTTTATAAATTGTTAACTACAAAATAATGTGCATATTTTCGCTGAATTGTTAAATTAAAATGCTTATAAAAATAAATCTTATAAAATTAAAAAGTGTAACGAACATGTCGTTACAAAAGTATTAAATGTTGAAGATTTTTGGTTGTGGCTTAAATTTTTTAATAACAGTTTAAAAAAAAATTTAAAATTGCACATGCCTTTAGGTATAAAGTTTAAAATTAATCTAAATACAGTAAAACCTCTAAATACTGGACACTCTTGTTTGATAAAACATTGTCTGCTTGTCAGGGGAGATTTCACTGTATTTGAAAATTGTATTGAGTATAGAACATTATAATAATAAACAAGTAACAGTGGAATCCGGGGCGCCCTCAGAAAATCAGCTCAGTGGGTGCAAAATTTAATTTATGTTATACATACGTAGGTAGCCCCTCTGTGGGCTCCCCGAAGTGGAATGTTTCTAAAATTAATAGGTAGTTCTTGAGTTACGACATAAAACTAAACTAATTTAATGAGAAATCTTTAATTCATGAGTGTGTCAAAAGTTTGTCAAAATGTGAGCTACAGACGCTCATAAAAATTACTTGTGGAAATGCACCATGAAATTACATTTTCAAACTACCTCTAGGCTATTTTTTAGTTAAATAGGGGGTTAATAAATAATAAGTAATTATAATACTTATCATTTGACTTTGATAAAATAGTTTCCAAAGTGTTATTTCCCGTTTTACCTAAAAGTTAAGACCAAAGAGGAAATAAAATACTTAGGTACCTATGTTAATAATTTATGTTTTAATTTGTTTTATTCAGTATTTTAATTTAATTTCTCAATGTAGTAAATATTTACGTTAAATATTAGTTGTTCTTCTTTTTATAAATTTAATCTTTAACTAGGTAGGTACATATTTAAAAACTGAACCTGGATTTCAATAGAATGAATTGTCATAGATTCTTTTGTTCCATGTTTTCAAATTATTATTGACCTATATTTCAGGCAACTCCAACCAGAGTGGTTATGAGCTACAAGTGGTTTTTATTTATAACATGTTGTTTACAATTTAATGACCAGTTAACTACGGCTGATAAACATGCATATTTTGATAAATTATCAGAAATTAGTTTATTTTTGAATTATTTTCTAAATAATTCTAGAGCTTCTTATAGTGTGAGTGAATTTACTACAGTAGACCAAACCAGTAAAATATGGTATTTTATACATGAGAATAAGTTTCTACACACTATTTTATATTAAAAATATTTTTATTTGAGTAAAATATATTATTTGAAAAACATTCTGTTGGATAATTTACGAAATGTGCCTGTTCATATAACATAATATAGTGGCATATCTTCCGAAAGGTTAAATTAAAAAAGATAATAATGTTTATATGTTATTAATATATTTTTGTTTGTATAAAAGGTGCTGGTGAATCTGGAAAAAGTACTATTGTAAAACAAATGAAAATCATTCATGAGACGGGTTATTCTAAAGAAGAATGTGAACAATATAGACCTGTGGTATTTAGCAATACAATCCAAAGTTTAATGGCAATTATACGAGCAATGGGAATTTTAAGAATTGATTTTTCAGATCCTAGCAGAACGGTAAATAAATGTCAAAAAAGCCTATAAGATTATAATAACATTCACTCTTAATATTAATTACAAAAAGTAACTTATTTTTTTATTTTAGGAAAATGCCCGTCAATTTTTTTCTTTAGCTAGTGCTACTGAAGAAGGTGAACTGACTCCCGACTTAGTTAAACTTATGAAAAGACTATGGGCAGATTCTGGTGTGCAAGAATGTTTTTTGCGCTCAAGAGAATATCAACTTAACGATTCTGCTTCTTACTATTTAAATGCCTTGGATAGAATATCTCTGCCTAATTATGTACCTACACAACAGGATGTGTTACGGACTAGAGTAAAGACAACTGGTATCATTGAAACAAATTTTTCATTTAAGGGATTGAATTTTAAGTAAGTAACATTCAGGCATATTATATTTTTTTTATACTGAAGATTTATAGAATACACTTATAAATTTGTTTATTGAATTGAAAACAATATTTTTTTTGAATATTCAGTAATTAACTAAGACTTATGCATATTTCAACTATAAAGCATTTAATATTTTTGATATTTTTATATGCATGCCAACAGTTAACTACAAAATATTTTATTATAACAACTATTTTATTCTAAATAGTATATACATATCAACTAAATACCTATAATTAATATGCCAAGTCGGCCGAGAGGATTAGTGTTAATATTATATAATAGAACTTATAATAATAATAATAACAGCAATTATATTATATTGTACATCATACATATGGATGTTCTACTGGACGTCATGTGCCCTGTGCTTGGGTAGTTGGGAAGATGAGGAATATTTCCTACTACTATGTTCTGTCGATTAGTATTAGGTCTATGATAAATGTCTATAATTTAATTTCTAATAGTATTTAGTTGTATATAAATCACAGGGTTGCTGTACACTTACTTTTTATTAGTGTGCTCACTTTTTCACACTTATTTCTTTGATACCTCATTTTTCTCACTATTTTAAAGCTCTTTAAATTTAATATTGAAACATTTTTTAATTAATTGAGTTTTTTGAATATTTTTATTTATTGGAAAATCAATGCAAAATTTAAAAAAAAAACCCTTATTAATGCGATATAAATAATAATGAGTGTCATAATCAGGGCTCGTGAGTTCATGCATTTGCATATCAATCTTGCTAAGTCGAATTTAATGCTAGGTGACCTATAAATCCATTTCAAGGTACTGTGGTTAAGTATGTGAAATTTTATGTTGCATATTTTTGCATATTTAGAGGCTTTTTAACTATTTGGCATATTTATGCGTTTTTCTATTTTATTGTGCATTTTTTTACCGAAATTTTATCAAAATGCAATAATTTATATTTTTACACAGTATAAAATATATAGGAGTTTTCGCAACATCAAATTATTAAAAATAAAACGTAAAGAGCAGATAAAGTGAGTACAAATGTACGTATACGAACGTAAAGGTACGTAGCCCGCATTATCTGACTCTTATCTTCTTGATACTTTTACATTGGTTTATTCTAGACCAGGGGTCTTCAACCCGCGGCCCGCGGGCCGCTTGCGGCCCGCCCTGTCATAATATGCGGCCCGCGATCACATTTGAAATTAAGCATGTATATTTTCTATTTCGATAAAATTATAACGGCTAAGCCATCGCTATCGGAAATATGCGATAAGATAAATTTAATTATACCTACACAACTCACTTCCCATGTATGTCAAAATACAATGTTACTTCAACAGAAAAATATGCAGAAGCAATTTCTGATTTAAAACACCAGTTCAAGTTGAGGTTCTCAGATTTCAAAGCTAATGAAACATATTTTAATTTGTTTTCAATTCCATTTTCATTACCAGTTGAAGATGTCCCAGAAAACATGCAAATTGAGATCATTGATTTACAAAACAATAAAGTATTAAAAGAAAAGTACAATTATGTTGAACTTTCAATTTTTTATTCAAAATATATTAACACAGAGACATATCCTAATCTTCGAAACAACGCATTAAGAATGATGTCTCTTTTTGGCAGTATTTACACTTGTGAACATATTTTTTAACGAATGAAAATTGTCAAATTGAAAAATAGAGTTCGGTTAACTGACAGTTACTTGGAAAGTTCACTTAGAATTGCCTCGTCGCAGATCCAACCAAATATAAACAAATTAGTTAGTGAAAAACAGTGTCAGTTATCACACTAAAAATAAAATAAAAATTTTGTAATTAACAAAAAATGTTTATCTATATATGTTTAATAATAATAATAATAATAATAATTTGTAATTTAAAATCTATATATGTTTTAATAATAATAATAATAATAATAATTTGTAATTTAAAATGTAATCTTGAAAATTTTAATAATAAAACTGAATTTTTGTATAAAATACATGTTTTTACTACGAATGCGGCCCGCAAGATTATTAAAAAAAAATACGTGGCCCGCTGCATAAAAAGGTTGAAGACCCCTGTTCTAGACTATATTTCAGTCGTTATTGTGACATAGTGTACGGACGTTCGTTCAGTTTCAAAATTTTCAGATTTAAAATGAACGACTGGACTGGACTGACTGATTTATAACTTTTAATAAACTTTTAACAATATGAATGGAAATTTTTTTATTATACCAAAATTTACTTATAGTATTTTTATTTTTTAATCTACATATTGTTGATACATATTTTTAGACTTTTAGTGCATATAAATGCATATTTCTGAACTTTTAAAGGCATATTTCAATGCATATTTTCCCAGCTTTTAGTGCATAAGTGCATACTTATTTAGGCATTTTTTAGAGCATGAACTCACGAGCCCTGGTCATAATGAATACCCATGGGCCATGACTATACAGAGTGATTTTTTAAAAATGCTCGCACCAGGCCCCATTATACCATTTAATTATTAATTTATTCAAATTCTGATTGTTGTACATTTTAAGTATACCTAGGTGCCTAAATACCATAATTTCAAATACCTGATATTTTTTGTACTACTTAAGGAATGTCCTGTACCGATGCAAACTTCTATTTTTAAAAGAGAACCCCCCCCTCCCTTTATAGTGAAAATTATTTAGTGGGTGATTCTTGACATTTATTATGTATCTAAATCAAAATTTTAATACATAGTTATCAGTTTCTGGTTTATTAAAATGTTTATACTAAGCCACTATGGATAATAATTCTTAAATAATTATAGTTTTATAAGATTATAAACTATATATATAATATTAGATGTAGTATTCATTATAATAAGAACATTTTTACAAATTATTTATATTGATAGACCAATAGTAATTACTAATTAGGTACTTATAATAAATTACTAACATTTTAAAAATCATCTAAGCACCCAAATATATTTACCTTATTACCATAGACATATTAGTGATATTATTATCCTTAGTAGGTAGGTAACATATAACTCAAAAACTACTCTTTTTAATTTTGATTTAATACATTAAAATTCTCAAAAAAAAAAAATATCTGCAGAATAATTAAAAGTGAGAAACAGGGTTCCTATTTGAAAAACAGTAGTTTATATTGTCCTTAAGTGGTAAAAAAATCCCATGTTTTCGAAAATATGGTTTTCAAGTGTAGTATTTAAAAATTCCAAAAATAGGGGGTGCATGCTTAACAAATCTATAGGCCCTATAAACTCCATAGCTCTATGCAATTTTTACATAACATTGTTATTGTAAATATTTAAAACAATTGTTTTTATTAATATTATGTTATAACTTTAAGGTAACAACCAGTGACACAAACAAATTAAAATAAAACTTGTATTTTTTATATTTCTGATTAAAAAACCACACTTATTTGAAAATAATACTCACTTATTTAAAAATAAAATGAGTAGCAACCCTGAAATCAGCTAGCCGGTTGGTATTTTACACCTATGCAATATAAATATTGTACATCAATAAACATAATAACATACAATAATATACTTTTAGTAGGTACAAAAATGCAATATCAATATTTTTTAATTGAATTAATAAATTTGTTTACATTTTCAAAAAATTGTGTTTACATTAATTTTTCAATATTATAATAAGTATTTAGTTGTTATGATTACACTGTAGGTGTAGCTTCTTAGTTTTAATAGCATCTATAACATTTCTGTTATAACGATATAATATGGTATCCTACCAATATCTTAAACTACTTTATTTATCCAAATATTTTGATAAAATAAATGTGTATTTTAGAATGTTTGATGTTGGAGGCCAAAGGTCAGAGAGAAAAAAGTGGATTCATTGTTTTGAAGGGGTTACTGCTATAATATTTTGTGTGGCTCTATCAGGTTATTATAACACATGAACCTATTTTCACACCTTTGTACTTATTCTAGCTATAACTAAATACTGTTTTTATTATTAGGTTATGATTTAGTATTAGCTGAAGATGAAGAAATGAATAGAATGATTGAGTCTATGAAATTATTTGATTCAATTTGTAACAGCAAATGGTTTGTCGATACATCAATCATATTATTCTTGAACAAAAAAGATTTGTTTGAAGAAAAAATCCGAAGAAGTCCGCTAAATTCTTGTTTTCCAGAATATATGGGTAAATATTTTATTTTAAATACAGGCATATAATAAAATCAACTCATTATAACTTTAAATTTAATTTCAGGTTCTAATAATTATGAAGAAGCAGCTGCTTATATACAAATGAAATTCGAAAGCTTGAATAAAAGAAAAGACCAAAAAGAAATTTATACTCATTTTACTTGCGCCACTGACACAAACAATATACAATTTGTTTTTGATGCCGTTACTGATGTAATCATCAAAAATAATCTCAAAGATTGTGGTCTTTTTTAGAAACTGCAGCCAGTTGCCAAAATTATTATGACTATTTATTATTTTATTAATTATTTAACTGATTATCATTATCCTTTTTTTTCATATGACTGATAAAATGATAAAGATCTTAGCAGTTCTCATTTGTTGTGCCAAATAATTTTAAAACTTAAGTATTCAATTACTGAACAAATTTAGTATATTTAATTCTTAAATTGAAAGTACATATTTTTGTAAGACTAAAAAGCTAATTTTTTTTTTACATTCTATTTTACAATACATTATTTTCATATGTAAAATACCTTAATTATTATTATTTTTATTTTTAATTGCATGCGTTTTAACTTTTTTTGCATGTTTTTTTTTTTAACTATAGCGATTTACAAAGTACTTGCCTTTAATTATATTTTTGTATTTTGAAGACACTGAAATTGTTAATTTTTGTTTTAGCCTCATGGTGACGTTTGTATTATATAATATTCATTAATACAATGTAATAGGATATACATTTTTAATACAAAACAATATCATCTGTAATTAAAATTTGTGATTTCTTTTAATGATGTCAATTATTCTCAATGACTGATTTAGTGATAACTTGGTAAATCTTTACATATTTTTGACTGCTTGAAGAAAAAAAAACAATATTGTACTTAATAAATATTTTCTGTGTTACTTTGTGAAAGTATACATTAAAAAAGTGTAATTTTAAATATGGCAGTATTTTATTTTTATCTTTATTATTATTTTTACCATAGATAATATAAGAATAGATATGACATTCCTATACCAGTTTCATATTTAGCCGTGTATTTTTTTCTGGAAGAGAGAATGTAAAAAGAGAAAGACGATATGGGGCTTTTTTTTAAGGTTATGTCCAAAAACAATATTTGTCAATTTCAAATTTGTATTTTGATTGTTGTGCCTGAAAATGGAAATTGGAATACTCAAATTACTCTAAACTTTGGGTACATAATTAATTGTAATTAGAATATAGAATAATATAGATCGTTAATTATTACGGATTAATCATTGATGTTATTTATTATCATTTATCAATTATCATATCAATATTTACCCCATATAACCACAGTATAACGTTCAAAACGAATCACTAAATTGTTTAATGATAAGTTCTTATGTCCTATCCATTCTTATATTATCTATGATTTTTACTAGTTAGTAATTATCATTTATATTAATTTATTTTTAATAGAATAAAACATTCATTACTGTGTGTTTACTTGTTTTGTATGCACATAATTTTAATTAATGTTCAAAAATGTATTAATTGTATTGCTTTTAAATGTCCAGGGTTTTATATTGTGATTAAATGAAATGTCAAAGAATTCTTTGTGTTTTTAGCATTTACAAATAATGGTAATAAATGTATTTTTTGGAAGCTTCTTATTTTTTGAAATGTATCATAATTCTTAAGACATTTTATATTTAATATTTAGTTACCAATAATATTGTTCGGATTTATCGTTATTTATGTACATTGATTTTTCTAACAATATATTTTTACTGCAGCTACCTAACAATTCTGAATTTATTACACTATTTAACCTTTTATTTATTGTCTGTCAAGTAATTTTATAGAATACAATGGTTGTATTTATAATGGTTAACTAATACTTATTTTTCTATATTTCTATTGATTTCATATTTAGTAATAGTTATTTCACTATTTATTTCATATCTAATTTTATGTATTATATGTATTAATTGGTAGTCTTATCATAATATAATATAATCATTAATCAGTAGCATACCGATAGAGTGGCATGATGGGCAATGAGCCATGAGCCCATGACTGGAGCAGGCATGTAAAACTCTTGTAAAAGTATTAACTGGGCCAAATACATTGATAGATTACTAGGGCCACACATACAAACGTATTGAAAAAAAAATTATACTTACAATACTATACAATACTTATTCAATTACAGTTTATGGGAAGATTTTTTTTTCATTTAACAAAATAGTATATTTACAATCTGTAATATACTATTACAATAATATTACTTAATATTAAGTAATAAGTATATTATAACCTATTTTTTTTTTTTTTTTTTTAATAAAATAAGACATTCCTAGCCGTTGCAGGCTATCTATATCTATGGATAAAAGACAATATTAGTTTGTAGCTATTTTAAAAGGATAATTATAAATATAAAATATGGACAGATATATGCAATTTAAGCTAAATAAAACTAAATGAAATAAATATTCTAAATATTACAATATATGAATACGGTATAGTTACAGATACTTGAGATACTATATAAATGCAAAACTATTACAATATATAAATTTTACCTATAACCCATTATAACTTATTAGTCCACATTCAGCACACTCTAAGGTTTAACATTTCCAGAAACATGATGATGTTGAGATGTTTTATGCAATTTCTGTAGCCTGAAGATAGTTTAAAGGAATAATATTAAAAGAAATAGGTAGGTAGGTCATAGGAAATGACAAATAATTAGTAATTGCATAATTTTTTTTTTTGTTAATATTTAGTATGAATTTGTATGACAATTTTTTCAAATTTGTTCGGAATTTAGTTTGTTTCCAAAACATTTACAAAGAATGGAATTAGTATTCCCTCTATGGTAGTGGCCATTGAGTCGTAGGTCCATTGGTTGAGTAATGAGTAGGTAGCAAATCATTTTTTAATAAGCACCAACCACTAACTCATGACATTAATATCTAACTTTTTTCTTAACTATCATTTTCGGAAAAGGGCATACAAATTCATTGTAATACTATATGATGGGAGTGAAAAAAATACCATCACTCCATCGATTTTTTTTTTTTTTTGGGAAGGACGGGACTTTTCTTTGCACCTCCTTACTTTTTGCTTGTGGGGGAAAAAGTGAATGCATACAAATTTGAAAAATGGTCATACAAATTTATATTAATTGCATAGGTACTAAATATAAGCAAAAAATAATGATTAATATTTACTTAGGTACCTAATTAGTTAGACATTTTATTATATAGGTGGTTTTATGTAAACATTGATTTGTATAATATGTTAATAAATTAAAATTACAATAATATTTACTGCAATTGTTGGTAAATGTTACTGGTATTCAGGCTAAGATTAAGACGTAAACACTATGCAGTGTATAGGCTGCAGCCTACACAAACATGGATTTGGGGGCAACGAAAGATACTTTTTACAATATTATTCAAGTACAGATATACAGATATATAATTTACTTATTTTGAAAAGTATTTGAGCACATATGCAAATAGTTTAAAAAGTATTTATAGGTACTCTCAAATACTTTCAAATTTTTTATAAAGTATTTTTTTCCCTTTGATCAGCTGAACCAATTTTCATGGTTTAAGTTAATTTATAGAGCATTTAAACATTTTACCCGTATCATTTGGTGGATTTTTTAAATACTCATCTGTTTTCTTTGTCAAAGTATTTTATTTTCGGTTCAGTATAATTCATAATAAAAAAAGTGGGCAAGTGGGTGTCGCTCTGCTGTACAGTAAGTTACAAGTGGGTCACTGTATAATAGATGGTATTAAATTTGAATTCAATGATATAATATCATTGTATAAGAAAAACGATTCTGAGCGGAGACGGTATGTCAGTCTAGGTATAAGACATATTATATACATATCTAATGTATTAAACCAAAATTTGACCTATAATAGGTACCTATAATAAATTACAAACTAATCATATCACAATATCCATTAGATACTTATAACGCATTATACATCAACAAAACCGTGATACTATCATAGATATATAATAGTACACTTTAGATTCTAAAGTTTCAAGTACCTACCCACGAATAATATTATTCAATCACAACAAAATAACTAAAATAGTTATTCTAGGTTTTTTAATATGTAATTCCGTCCAAATTTGAATTTAAAATGTCTGTAAAAAATAAGTGTGTTCATATATTTTTTAGATTTTTTGGTTATAGTATGAACTATTTATGAGAACCTTTGTGTTGAATTTGTAATCCTTAGCTATAAAAACTGAACATTTTATAATTTATTAATTACAATGATTGATAATTTTCGAGATTTTGATAAATTTTGTCAAAATTTGATCTTTAAATGCTTATAAAAAAAATTGTGCCTATGTATTTTTAATGTTTTTCAATTGCTATTGTAACAATATATCAGGAGCCTTATATTAAATTTTAACACTTTTTGGCCCAACAGATAAAACTTTATTGATATTTATAGAAAAAAAAACTAAAAAAAATTTAAAGCTGTAAATGTCCATAAACAGCTCAAAAAGAGTCAAAATATTTTCAAAATTGTATGGTGTATAGGAAATGCTAATATAAACATTCAGTGAAATTTTCATGTATCTACAGTTGTTCGTTTTTGAATTGCAACAAAATAAGGAAATCGCTACATGAGTAATCGAGTGAATATCCAATGTTGTAAAAATTTGAATTTCAAATGCTCATAAAAATTTAACTTGAGTGTCCGGTAGAGATTTTTTTATTGATAAAGGTAGATAATCTTATAAGGAATCTTGTGTTTCATTTACAAATCTTAGATTTAAAAAGAAAAATTTTTACGAATTCTTAACTCATAATAATTTGCTAATTTTCGTGATTTTTCCATATTTTGTAAATTTTTGAACTTTAAATGCTTATAAAAAAAAATTGTGACTAAGGATTTTTAATATTTTTCATCTGCCTTTGAAACAACATATTAGGAGCCTTCTATTAAATTTTCAAGCTTTCGCAACCAACAAATAAAATTTTATTGATATTTCTAGAAAAAAAACTAAAAAAAAATGAAAAATGAAAATGTCCCTAAACAGTTCAAAATAAATCAAAATATTTTGAAAATGTTATCGTGTATAGAAAATGCAAATATAAACAACCAGTGAAAATTTCATGTATCTACGGTCATTTGTTTTAAAGTTACACCAAAAACCAAATTCGATTTTTTGGAAAATCGATTTTGCGTAAAAATTCCCGTTTTTCCTTAATTTTTATGTTGTTTTTCCCGGCGCT